ATGTTCTTTGTATTTTTTCATTTCTGAAAGCCTGATTTCCCTGGAAACCTGCCCCTGGAGGGTTCTTGTAGGCTCTTGGTGGTGAATAGGTGTTTTGCAGTGGTATATGTGTGTTCTGGGGAGCCGGTGCGCGCCATTGCGAGCGAACCGGAGGCTGAGTATATGTTTGGGCTTGGTTAATAGAAGAATGGGGATCTGAAGGGTGATAGTAGTGTTGGGGTGAATTGTGGAGGTAAGTTGATTGGCGAGGTCGTTGTTGATTATAGTAAGGCGGTGAACCTCTGGGTCCCGACCANGTATTGATAACTCGTGCAAACGAATATTTTATACATAAATATTACTAAAACATTTAGATATAATGTGTTCGAACAATTAAGAAAATATTTTTCTATGATTATATTTGAATTAAGTTCAGTTAGTTTAAATTTGAAAGCATAACATAATATTTTGAAATATAGTCCAATTAAGAAAATAGAATTATAAAAATTATTTGAATTTGAGATGAGAAAGTTTTTAAATGTTTATCTATATTATATTAGAATGAGTGTAGTAAAAATAGATACTAAATTCAAACAGGCTAATAAAAATTCACATGACAATGTAATAATATTAGGTATTGAATAATGTAAAATCAAAAATAAAGAATAAATAGAGAAAAAATAAAAATTCAGATTTTTTATCATAGGAATAAGGGTAAAACTTATTTAAATTTGAGATGAGAAAGTTTTTTATATTATACTAAGAAAAGTTATAATATAAGTCCACATAACTCAAGTCTAATAGTTAAAATCAAAAATTAAAAAAATTGAACAAAATAAATTAGAGATAATGTAAGGACATTTATAATTCATAAGTTTAGAAAATAAAATAAAATAAATATACAATACTTTAAAATATTATTAAATTTTAAATAATTTAAAATTTTTGAGAAATGTTTTTATTAAATTCTGAATAAGAGGTTACAAGCGTAAAAATATATCAAATTTCAAGAATAAAATATTATATTTATTAAAGACTATTAAAGGATAATAAGCAACACATTAATTTAATTATTAAGCTAATAGAAAATTATATAATAGTATAATAATATTAAATAATAAATAATACAATAACTATAAGGAAAGAACCAAAAAAAAGAATTTGTATAAAAATGATCTGATAAATAAGACATATTTGACTTTTAGATAAAAACAAAATGGTAGTAAGAATTTTATTAAAATAATATTATCTAATGTGCTCAAACAAGACAGATCATAACATGACATGTTTAGTATTCTTTAATATTGATAGCAAAACGAAATGCAAGTACTAAAAATAAGGGTTATGCTACTACAAATATATATTAAAAAAATAGGTTGTCCACTACGAAATTTAAACAATAATTTCATATCCTTCTTCATAATTAATATCTAATGTTATATAATTTTTATCTTAAAGGTTTATATTTTAAGGTTATTCGCACATGATTCAAACAACTTACATCACAATTTGACATGTTTTTTATCCGCGCATCGCGCGGGTACTAATACTAATTATATTAAAAGGAGAGTAGTGAAGCATGTGGTTAAGCCAAGTGGCAAGCTAAAATGAAGCCATTTGGCAATTTAAAAACAACATAAAAAATTTAAATAATAAATGGAAACATATTTAATGGAAATAGTAGTCCAAGATTTTCTGTAAGTTGAATTTCATTCTTTAATTAATCAAAGCCAATTATTTTAAGATTTAAACTAAAAATAAAAATGTTCTCTTTTTAATGACCAAAGACGTACACCAAAAAAAGGATGCAATTTTCATTAAGCAAACCAATATATTATAACTATAGGTATCTATAATATAGATTTTGTGTATAATTCAGTAATGGTATGAATCCTTTTTTGAGAAAGAATCATTGTATCTTACACATTAATTTTAAATTAAAATAATAATTCTTTATTTAGTACAAGCTTTGTATTTGACCTTATTTGTGGACAATATAAATTACTATAGGTATTTTTAATTAAATTTATGTATAATTCAGTTATGATAAGTATCTTTTTTTGAGAAAGAATTAATTAAAATTTCGTTAATTTTGTTTTGTATATTACACATTTATTTTAAGTTGAAATAATAATTTTTTATTTAGTGCAAGCTTTGTATCTGACCTTATTTGTGAACAATACACATTACTATAGGTATCATATACATTACTATAGGTATTTTTAATTAAATTTTGTGTATAATTCAGTTATGGTAGGTATCCTTTTTTAAGAAAGAATTAATTAAATTTTGTTAATTTCATTTTGTATCTTATACATTAA